CTAACACTATCACAAGAGGCGCAAAAAAACCATGCTGAGCCAGTCAAACTCTAACCGTCCGGGCTCGTTTGTGCTCACCTGCCATCCAACGCGAAAATCACGTTCTGCTCGCTGCGTACATCGACTGCAATGTGGGTAAAAATAACGTCTCGTGTGGCCAATATTGGCATCCCACCTGAAAAATTTGGTCCTCATCAAAAATCAATTATCGATCCGGATAGACGTAAAACCCCATTCCGATCACAAACCTGACACGGGTTCGGCCATCAGGAGATGAGATTTTGCAAAGTGCAAGTCCGAGTCAGACAGCGAATGTGAGTTAGAGACACACTGAAATGAAGATGTACATCTGAGGTGCCATGAAAAATAATACCAGAAAATATACCGTTCCCGGTCGATGCTCTGGCACAGCGTCAGCGGGTAGTGGCAACCAATTGGGACTATTTGGATCGACGAAAAAACCATGATGGAACAGCTAAATTTTCAATAGCTTAGAATGCTGTCATGATTTATTGATTGGTGCTGCATTTGAGACGACTCGTACATGTATTTGATGCTCTTGTAAAGAGAACACGCAGAATGCGCGAAGTGTGACGATGCTGTCTCGAAGTGCTCATTGTTGCGTGAAAACAGTGTGGTCATCAGAGGTGAAATACATACCGCAGTGACACAGCTCTGTAAAGAGTAGCGGTAGACTAACCGTACACATCTACAGTACTACTGGCCAGTTAACTATCGCGGGAGGCAAACAAAATTCTTCACGTCGTCAGCAGTTTCTGTGTTCCCCAGACAGTGGATAGCCGGCCGGTACCCAATGGCCAAACTGACAGAAAGAGCATTGGAACCACGTATGCGGTCAAAGTAGTACGGGTACTGTGACGAAATGGAACAATTCAGACGTGCTTTCAGAAACGATGTCCAACTTGACGTAAGACAACGCGACCTCCGATGTCTTCTGAAACGTGGTGACATATCGATTGATATTGATCGAGTTCTCTAGTGAATGTGGTCTCGTCCCTAACCAATCTCACCTTACACACTCTGGCCACTCGACTATAAACGCTTCGTTCCGGTCCTCCGCTCTCTATGGCGATTTCGCGGAAGAAAAAGTACACATGCTCTCCGACATCGAACGAGCCGACAAACTGAGGTTCTGAAAACTTCATTATCATCCTTAATTATAGGGTAGGGGTTACGGTAAATCCTCTGTAGATATTGACGAAGTTTGGGAAACAGTGTTCGTAATATAACTTCCTTCATTTACATCTTATTTGTTTATACTAATTTATTTTATTTCCTATACGTTTTCGGCCTGAACACAGTAGTATTTCAATTGAACCTATCTGACGTGTTCGAAGGTATATTTATGTGCAGAGCAAACTTAGGTTACTACAACTATTCCATGAAATTAGAAAGCATTCTCAGGCCGGGAGTAGATTATACTCGACAGGGATCGAACTAGCGACCTAAGCGGCCACGCAGTAGGGCATCGCCTTTAAACACTACACTGTTTTTAGCGACTAAGCAGCAGCAATCTAGGGTTAAGGGAACAACCATAGTGATTTTTGAAGAATCGACTACCCTTGGTGATCGAGTAATCCGCGGCCCGTTTCTGCACCTCGTCGGCGGACAATGCTTCGTCAGTTAACGCAATAACGCTGAGCATAATTCGATTGCAGTTCTTCTATAAGCGTTCGTTAGGACTGGATCGATAGCACACGCATTTACCTCAGCTGGGTTGTAGCAGGGTAATAAGGAATCTTGACTGACGAACACCACCGTTCTCCCCTGTGAGGTTCCACTCGTGGCTTTCCTTTAGCTTCCCACGAATTCCAGTCGGCAAAAATATACTTGGGATGGTAAGAAAGTCCTGAGCCGATTTTTCGAAAGCTCCAGAACTTTCGCTTATTGATCGATACCTAGAATCTGCTACGTGATAGATTATCGCTGTCGATCATACTTCTCCGCAGTAGGTATATATTGCCGGGTTGCCTTCTTTAACTTTAATCATGATGTCGATTCCACAAGAGCACTTTCGAGCGATCATCTTCAATGAATGGCGCTGCGGCACAGGAGCAGTGGAAACCGTCAACATTATCAGCATCGCATTGGGAAGGGACACCACTTCCATCATCAGTGCCAAGCTCTGGTTCGCAGGCTTCGAAGGAGGAGACACGGCTTCCGAAGACAAGACAAGGTTGGGAAGCCCCAAACAGTGGAAGACTCCACCGTTCTCGGCGCTGTCGAAGAGGATCCGGAGGTTAGCACCCGCAGCCTTGTGACAAGACTCGGGTGCACCCATCCCACAGTCCTCGGTCCCCTCCACGCCCTCGCCACAGGAAAGTGGTGACTCGATGGATCCTCATGTCTTGACCGATAGCACGCGGTTCAGGCGGGTACCCATTTGTCAGTTTCTCCTTCTTTGTCCGCACCGAAAGGCGTTTCTTGGAAGGCATGATTACGAGAGATGAGAGTGGGGTCCTCTACGATTCTAACAAGCACAGTGCCGTGTGGCTCCCTCGAGGAGAAGACCCGCCGACACAAGCAAAATCGGACCTTCACCCCAAAAGCTGTCTTCTTTGCTACCTCTGGGATTCGTGAGGAATGCTGTATTATGAGATGCTCCCGCAAAGACATACCGCTACCGGCAGCATTTACGCCAGTCAGCTCCAGAAACTAGCGGACGCTGTTCAAGAAAAACGACCGAGACGAACTTCTGTCCACCTACTCCACGATGACGCCAGGCCCCACATAGCTAAAGAGACCCGTGCAAAATTGGAAGAGCTGATCTGGGACGCGGTTCCCCACCCACCCTATTCCCCTGACATTGCCCTCTCTGATTATCTTACTTCATCCCCTTAAGGCATTCCTAGCGAAGAAAAAATTCACCAAAGTTGAAGACGTTGAAAGAGCGGTCAGCGATTTCTTTGACTCTCAGTCTGCTCAGTTCTGGGAGAAGGGGGTCGCTGACCTGCCCATTAGGTGGGACTCTGTAGTGAGTAACAATGGTGATTATATTGTTGGTAGATTCCATTGTACGCGGAATAAAAAAGCAAAGAACAAAAAAGTGTCAAACGGCTCAGGACTTTTTTACCATCCTAATATATGTAGATCATATTAGAAGCCTACATTTTCCTTGGAGAGCCGAGTAGAAATCAGCACGCCGAAACCCTACTGGTGAGAGCATTAAGCTTAGACTTACATGAGGAAGAGGTCCTCCTCTCTTGGGATAGCCCGCGCACTTGAGGAGATATTTTGTTGATATCCAAAAAAGTTATAATACACTTGGCTAGGAGCCAAGGAATGAAAACCAGAAAAGTTTTTCTACTCCTGATAGCTGCCGGCAGAACGGTTCTTCTCTGTTAGCTCCACTAAGAACTGGAAATAAAGGTTTTTAGAAATTCTGAGGTCGTATTCATTTCTATTATTTATTTATTACTATATGGCTATTTTACTTATAATTGCCGAATCATTTTATTATTCATTACTACGGTATCACCTACCGTATAAGCCATCGATTATCCGTGTAGACACTCCGCAGACTAGAGTGCACTTCCTTTCCCTTGTCGACGAGAGCTGGCCGATAGATCAAGTGGTTTTCACCGGCCATACCCGTGCGAATACCCGAGTACACTGGACGGCAAATTCACTGGGATTTCCCCACTCTGTAATTGATGATATAGAGCAGAAGAAGTTCGAGAAGAAATTGCGCCTTAAAGCACGTATCGGCCACTATAACGGCAGTCGCGTTGACGGTTGCATCCGGGGCGCAGATACCGATCTCTGTTCGTGGTTCTTGACGATCTCGTAGGGTGACGGCGTCAAGTACACGAATCTCTGGCCGCATAGCAACAGCAGAGCAAACCTAGAACGGTACGGTAACCGCCTAAAGGATGTCCAACTATCAATCCAGGCTTACGGTATTGTTGAGATATAATCCTAACATGATAATCGTTCTTTTGTCTGTCACGGTCCATGAATCGCTTGTCGATGGTTGGCATTCCTCGCAGAATTTCCCAGTGCCCGACATTCGGACAGCTCGGCCGGTGGGACACTGACACGAAGATCGGCATACTGAAATAGATTAATCGTTTTCTCAAATATTCGACGACTTTTTCTTCAAATAGGGGATCGTATAACTTCGTATAATGTAATTCCACGTAGGATTAGGTCGTGCGGGTTTGGAATCGGAGCGACCTCCGTAGGATTGGTTGAGCTATGATTGGCTTTAGATCTCAAACTGCAAATCGATGTCAGAACTGATGCGCTAATTACCCACTATCAGTTCTTACAACATCTACAGTTTAGATTCATGAGGTGCACTCTGGGCGCTTAGTAAACCTCTTCATACTCTGGGGCGCAATCCTATCTTCCCTGCAGGCTCTATGGCAAGGGAAAATCACTTCACATATTCTTGTTTTCCCAACCAAAATTGTCCTAAAAAATGGCCAAACTGTAATGTTTGCATGTGTGTAAGAGCAACTGTGTGCTCAAAGTAAACAAATCGTTGGAAACCAAAAAGTAAGGGATCTTTTTTCTTCTCCTAGGTGAAAGAAGGATAAGGATACGGCCCCTGATGGGCCGTTAGCACACGATTTTGATTGGTCTATCAGGACTTGGAGTGAACGGTAGCCGAAGGTATGGTAGCGTACCCCTTTCAAAAAACCAAATGACCATACCAAGTTTTCCGAAGTGTCGTTCACGTTGTAAGCCCATAATCGGAAGATTCGTCCACGGGCACCGACGTACAATGAGGCCGAGTTTGCGTCCAACACCAGATTACGGTAATCCAAATCACCGCGTGTGAAGATGTTGTCTGAAAAGAGGGAAATGAAATAGCGTACTGAAGCTCTGAACGAACTTCAACATCGTGATCATTCCCTCATTTCAAATAAAAGATTATATATTTCAAAGAATTTCATATTCTCGCATATGCTAACAATATGTAGCGCGAGTTTTCAGAAAATTCGTTTTTAATAGAATTTTCAATGAATCATGTGTCAAATATGTAAGGTGAAACTGGAGATCAGGGACAAGGAGTCTGCACTTGTGCTTTCACTATAAAGATAAGAATTAAAGCGTTCATATTATCGTCTTATCCTATCCTTAGTGCTAAAAGCCCCAAAGGAGTGCTCGCTAGCTAAAGATAATTTAGCAAGGAGCGCCCCCTCCACACCATTTTCATTGAACATCTGCATTTGTATCTTCTAGTTTTTCTGTAGCTTCATCATCAATATTTTCGGGCGATTTTTTAGTATCTATTTCCGCTGATTTTTTTCAACTATCCCGGATTTTTTCTTCCGCCCCATTACACAAAAGTATTATGCAGCCTGAGGAAACCCAATAATCAACATGTCTGCAGTGTTGTTTACCTTGTTCTATAAATGTCTATTTCAAGAATGATAGTAGACAAGTTTGCAGCCTTCTTATCCAAAGACTTCTCCATTATATCATGATCTGATCAGAGTATCTATGAGCTGAGAAAGTTTTCCAGCCAAGTGACTCTTCTGATGGAATTATTCCACTTCCCCGTGTATAGGTCGTGTCATTTCTGACCGCATTAACCGCGTCTCCCACGGATCAAAGGCGTCACCGACTGCCTCGTACGAGGTCATGAGGAAATTACTCTTGGTTACATCGTCCAGATGGTCAATGGGTGAACCACAGTGGGACAACTTCTTGCGAGCCAGCCGAAACATATTGATATGAAAGGACAATTCCACGAAGGTTGAAGAATACTTCATGGTGAAAAGAGGGAGACGTCTGTTATCCTTTTGAGGTCAGAGCTGCGCGATTATTGGAACCTAAGATCAGGCTTCGGTTCGAGCTAGGTTAGGCTGCAGACCTCATGCTTGCTTATGTTTTACGCCTAGCGAATGGGCCAAGGTTAGTCGTAAGCTTTCGCTTTGAGCAAATGAGTGGTAAGTCAGTTTAAGGAGAACCTGCGGCAGGAGAATCTTGCACTCACTTATCCTCCTTCACGGTCGTCTCCGGGCGCACGTAGGGAAAAACTGAAATGGATTTTATGAAAATAAATTGTATAAATGGTCAGGTACCGCATTAATAAATCGATCTGATCGCAGTTTCACTCATTTTATCAACTTTCAGGTAGTCGATCTTATTTTCGAGCAAAAAGCAAAAAAATGGTCCCCTATTACATGGAAAGAGTGCTTACTGTGAAAGATTAGCCGAGAGAAGACATTTTTCTCGTGGAGGTAAACAGCGAACAGTACATACTTCTACTTTCTTGTAAAACACTGAGTAATTCTGATGCTAATAAGAATATTACATATTCGAAGAATCATCCTTTAAAGCAACAATCCAGGAACGAATTCGCGGGTAAGGACCACCTATAATGACGTTGCAGGTGAGAAGTTGGTCAATGGAGAAAGAAAAAGTAGAAAAAAACGTCGGGCAGGGGCTTAGACAGGGACTCCCCCTGCCGTTTAGGGAGACGTGTGTTGGACGAGTTGTCCGAACCTGCCCGTAGTACATGCGCTCCAATTGCAACTGCTGGCAAATAGCTGCATGCTTGCAAATACATAACTATTTGCCAGCAATCGAAATTGAAGCGCTTCAATTGCGTTCTTATGGAATCGACCTCATACAGCGCGGCGGTCCCGCAACGACCGCTAGTCGAGCAAGCGCTCTGCACAGCTGCTTGGAGGCGGCCCCACCACGGATCGGTGGATCCGCCCCTCTTGAAGGATTTCGACTGCTTCCAACGCCTTTCAGAGGTAAGTTTTGAAGTTTGTGACATTTCCCATGAACTCCAATCAGGCTGAGGCATGTTTCCACCACTTGAAAACCAAATGGTTGAAACCCTGCCTGGACTGTTGCTTTAAAAATCTTCAATATTTGACCGGACTAAACACAGACATCACATAACATAAACTATTAAGTAAACAATCCGAAGGAATAAATAACTAAATAATAAAATTCCGAGAAAGTGCACGTTTTATGCGATCGAAAAGTTAACTAGAAGTTTTATAATATAGTAACGCATTCCCATCTAGTTTTGGCAAGTTCAGCCGTAATGAAAATTCACCGCTTATAATTTGGTTCTTTGTTTATTGATCTATTGGTTG